AGAACTTGGAAAAATGTTAAAATGTTATTAATGCACACCCTTATTAAATCCTTTACCTTTTTGCAGTTGTTACAGGAGAGGAGCTTGTCAAAGAGTTTGTCTCCTTTTATCTTATTTTATTTTGTAATATTAAGTCATGCAGACTTTATTTTACTATAAACTTTGGCATGCTGTTAATTTATTGCTTTTCAGCTTGCTTGCATATTGACGTAGCTTGTCAACTTATAATTTTTCACTGAATAATAATGAAGTTCTTATCAATTTTCTGTAGTTAAGAACAAATAAGTACATTTGATCACTCATTTTGGACTTTATTCTGATATATAAAAGATGCTTTCGTGGTGTAATGTTTAATGACGTAGAATAAAAAGTTGGTGAGGCAAGTTTAAATTCCAGTTGTGCTTGTTACGTTAAAAATTAGAGCGTATGACTCAGCCCAAGTTTCAGACCTAGTATGTTTTTACATTTTGTTTAGTAGAATCATAAAACGGGAACTAACAGGTCTGTATCGGGATGAAGGACTCAGATCCACGAGGGAAATAGACCAGGCAACCATTACCCCTAAAGAAAATATGACAAACCATAATATTTTCATCAGCATTTCTGCGGAGAATTTAAAAAGAGAATCAATAAAAACAGACATTCATTGACCAATCCAAAATTAAAACACTAAACAGCCCTTTTGAAAAAAATTTTTAGTAATTGAAGGAAAAGGGTCTGAATCCTCAAATAAATTGGAAAATTCTAGGTTTCGCGAACACCCCCAATAGTTTTAGGGATAGGTGCAAGTTATGCAAGAAGAAAAAATATCAGGATAATAAAATATAAAGATTAATGCAAATTATTAAATCAACGGAAAGAACTAATCACGAAATGTAGACATAGATTCCAAATTACATAAGAATACATGTGTCTATATGTGGGGGTGTATGTGTACGTATAGTGACATATGTATGATCATGTAAATGTACACATATGTATGTATGAAGATATGTATGCATATAAGTGTGTTGGACAGCACGAGTCATTTCATTGGGTGCTCTGGTATTATCCACAATCTATAAATCTATAACTCAACCAATTTACATTAATCTTAACGGACTTAAGTCTAAATCCCTCATCGCTTAGTAGTACAAAATCTATTTACTGTAAATCCCAGAAAAACAAACTCCGGGGCCTTTATAAGAAACACTACATAGTAGGAACGGATATTAAACGACAAACAAAAATCCTGGCCATAAATAAACTCCAAACACAGACCGCTTCCCCCGGGATAAGATACCTTATGCCTCCACCAATCGCTAACACAAACCCGCTCTCATTAACAAGGCGCCTACTAGAGGAGGACTAACTTTGAAAATAAATTTAGAACAATGCTATGAGACAAGCACTTAGAGGCTCATGATAGCCGTGTGAAGAAAGGTTTGAAATAGACTATCTCTATGTTGAGGTAATTTTTTTTCTGTAAAAAATACATATGCTCTGTTAAAATAAAAACATTGAGCTCTCTGTGGATCAGTTTTAATAATTAATATTACTAGGATCCACCAACGGATCAATTACCTGTAATATTATATATATATATGTATATAAGTAAAAAGAAAGAACAGTAAGATGTATAATCCGGTGTTCTTATAGGTATTTTTATTTTTATAAAATAGTGCTCGATGTAAATTTACAGAGCATTAATATTATAAATTAATTGATTTAAAATATGTTTTTTCCGCTACACAGTTCTAACCATGTTTCAAAAATGGAAGCTAAAAGCCACGAATTTAATTTTGCAATTAAATTAAAGACATTAGTTCCATTTCCTCCTCAAGCGAATTTTGGAGTAACTTTTAAAATTACTGGGTTTTAAAGACACAGCTAAAATCACGTTTCCATGGTTACAGATAAATCTACTTCAATTGGACAAGGGTTATCTGGGTTTTCCTTATGTCTGTATCATTGTATCGGTTATTAGCTACATTTTGTTAAGGGGTAGGGATGTATTTTTCAATGCGAACTGACATCCGTTGAATGCATGTCGTCTGGATTTTTTTTTTTTAAATTTATTGTTTATATATATATATATATATATATATATATATATGCGCGCGTGGTTAGAAGGTTCGCTTTCTGACCATGAGATTCGAATTTCACTATGTTCAATTTGTCAGTAAGATAACTTCTGGATGGGGTGATCTCAATGTAAGGCACCTTTGGGAAGTGTCTGAAAACCATACCACGGGTTGACCGAAGGGTTGAGCGTGCGGGCCTTATTCAGATTGTTGATCACGCTAAACTGGGACCAATGTCTGCTCAGCATAGTTGCAGTATAAACCACAGGTGGGCTCTGTGGGTGTTGAATAAACAAATGTCATGAGCAGGTTTTTGGAACAGGGTTTGACTAGCCATTCGAGTAGACGGGTATGCTCGAATGCGAGTGGCCAGCTATTATATAGGAATACTGAAGAGTTAGAAAGTATTTTTAATGTTTAATAAGAATAATAAAGATAATAAGAATAAACAACAAACAAACAACAAAATCAATGAGTTGGTAAGGATCTTTTTTTTTTTTTTTTTAAATGGGTGAATCAACAGCGGTATCCCAAGATACAAATTTCCAATTTGGAAAAAACAAATATCTCGATGATCAAAACAATCATGGCTATTAACTCTCAAGCTGAAAACAATAATCCAAGGGAAATAACTCATTAACTAATCTAGGGGAGATAACCTTTCATAAGTCCAGTATTACCGTTTTCCGTTTTCTTCCATACATACACGCTGCGCTTACTCTCTAACCCTCAACCTTAAGTGGCCATCGGGCCTTGTATAGGGTGAGCCGCACTCAAAAAATAAATAAATAAATAAATAAAACTAAATAAATAAATAAAAATAATAATCCACATGGTCAAAACGCTTACGTTCAAATACGCGCAAATACCTTTGGGAAAGGTATAGTAGAACTAAGTGGGTCCTATAGCTTTAGTTGGCAACCAGTTTACCACAGAAAATATCAGCAACTTATTGAGACGAAATCTTCTTTGTCAGTCATGAATCGAAAGTGAGTTGATAGTCCAAGCGTGTATCGCGTATGACACTAAATTAACTGACTGAAGCAACTCTCAAATGGAAAAATAAATAAAATAAAGAATCTAAGGGAAATAACTCGTTAACAAATATAAGGGAGATAAATTGTATTTTTCTTGCATTGTTAAAAGGCGAATGTGCAAAGCAAGTCCAGAAGACTGTTTGGTGCTGATATCTACTATTTTCAACTGTTGGAAGTATGAAGTATGTTAGGGTTGGGGTTAAAGGCAGTGTACTGGTTACGTATGAAAAAAATCATTAACAATTTTTTAAATAAAAAAATCAAAAAAAAATCATCAAACAATGATTTTATTGTGTAAACTGATTTGATGTCACTTAAAAAAAAAACAACAGTAAACATGCCATCATATTGCCTAAGCATTTTCCAGTAATGAGTGCATTGTCATTTACAGCAGGTCACAAATGCTCCAGTATACTGACTTTTCTGTGTTTTTTACGACTCAACAGGTTCTTGAGATATATAAGAAAGAACAGTAAGATATATAATCCGGTGTTCTTATAGATAGTGCTCAATGTAAATTTACAGAGCATTAATATTATCAATTAATTTAATTACAAAATTAAATTCGGAGCTTTCATCTTCCATTTTTGAAACATGGTTAGAACTGTGTAGTGAAAAAAACTATATATATATATATATAATTTATAAATGTAATGGATCATATTTTATTTATTTTTATTCAATTCAACCCAAGTAAGGCAATAAAGCAAAAGCCTGCTTTGAGTGAAAGTGAATGAAAATAATTTTAGAAAGTACCAAAAACCCAATCTTAAACAGGGAACAAGAGATAAACATCAAGTCATGTTCAAAAGCCCAGACAGTTGGTTTGCCTATATTCTCCCATTGAAAAAAAAAAAAAAAAAAAAAATATTAAATAAAATCCTTGGATTTTTATCAGTTGGGCCACCTAAAACAATTGGTTCATGTAGCAGATATTAATAATGCAGATTCGTTTTATAAATGTATCATGGGGGTCTGTGAAAACATTCAACACTGTGTGGGAGTATTTGAAAGGGCCCACCAGTCTGACGGATGCATGAGTACATAGAAGCAAGTGGAGGACATTTTGAACATTTGTTATAAGTTGCTATGTCGAGATACAATGATGGTCTTTTGGACATATATTTATATAGACATTTTACCTTGTTTCGGTGTGAGGAACCCACACTCGAAATTTGTAAAAGTATTTTTGATACACCCTGTATATATATATCTTTCTCTTTTATATATCTTCATAGGCATCATCCTCTTAGTGTTTGATAAAAGAAAAAAAAGATTTAAATGCATTTTAAGAATAAAAAAAAGCAAGTGAATTTTACAAAACAATTTTCTCTATTTTTATTTTCATTATTAGAAGATTAAACATCTGTATTTTACTGATTCTATAACATTGCCATCATGAAGGTGTTGGTGGGGTATTATTTATTCTTAATGCCAACATCATGAGGAATGCAAAAATCAGACATTGTTCATTTTATATATATATTCTTCCTGCAAATCATCTGGGAATGTTTAAACCCTTCTTCTTTTTTTTCCCCATTAATACATATCACCAAAAGAGTCAGTGTTCTTCATTTCTATATTCGCCACCTTTATATGTCACATATTTGAATGTATTAGTAGAAAATTGTATGTGTAGAGAGATTGTGATTCTGGACAAGAAATCTTTGGAGTGCAGATTAATGACAGGTGAGGAAAGTCATTTTAGGGATGAAGGAAGGAAGGAAGAAAGGACCACTTCAAAGAAACAATGAGTCTTTTTTTTTTTTTAAACTGATGACATCACACACACATCAAAATGGTTAGCTATACACATGGATAATAATGCACTGATGATGGCCTTTCTAAACAGCCTTCGTCTTCCTCATTTTTCTTGTGCTTTTGACAAACTGCTGAATCGTTAACTGTTTAGCCAGCGACTGTGTTCAGGGGAAACTCTTGGCTGGAGCTGAAAAAAAAAAAAAAAAAAAAATCACATATAGGAAAGGAAACAAAATGTATGGGATATTTTGTAATAACTTTATTCTATTTTTTTTTTTTTTTTTTAGTACCATGAGAGGCAAACCAATCTCAATTAAATTTTTTTTAAAATCACTAACAGTAAAAAAAAAAAAAAAAACAAAAAAAAAAAAAATAATAAGTAAAAAAAAAAAAAAAGTTTAAAAAAAAAAAAAATTTAAAAAACAAAAAAGTTTAAAAAAATTAAAAAGTTTAAAAAAAGTTAAAGAATAAAAAGTAGAGAAGAAACATGAAATTAGTTTAAAAAATAATTTTATTTAAAAAAGATCTGCATATTTATTTAAAAAAGATAATTAATTTTAAAAATTAACTTCTCATGTTTTGTCAGTTCCTGTTAAGTGGGAGTGGCAGAGACATTTTCAATACCCTATGGCTGAATCATTAATTGAACATTACTTTTTTAATTTTTTTTTTATTACGACTATTATTGGTATTTTTGTTGTAATTATTATTATTATCCTTCCCCCTACCCTTTTATGAGGAATAAAATGAAATCTCTTTTCATCTCCAATAAAAGAATTTGTTGAAGTTGTAAATCTTATTTACTTACCCCAAGCAAATTTCGGGCCACATATCCTTCTTGGTCATGAAGTCGAGCCCACCACCATTCCTTTTCTTGTTCATCTCCTTTTCTTAAAACACTTAACTGGTTTCCCATTTTAAAATTCAATTCATCAGAATTTTCGGCCTCATAATCAAAAGTGGCATACACAATTCCATTGTGTGCTATACCAAGCTTTTCTTGAACACCTGAAAAACGACAATGACAACACATGAAGATTTCAACTACAGAAATGGTGGGAAAATCAAAAAGATTAGCTGCAGAAAATTTGGGGGAATTTTCCTGCCAGCTGACTTGAATTAATTAGGGTGATTAATTAATCATCATTTTTATCTCATATACAAGAATTTAATTTGATTGCTTCCTTTATGGTGGTAGTGCTGATGACTAAGTAAACCATTTTTTTGTATGGAAAAGCTGATGGCATTGTCAGCATGGTAATGCTGTTGAGGATGTGGTTGATTTTATTGAGCTTTTCTGTAGTCATTTGATTTCTTCCTTTTCTCTTCCAGTGGCTTCAAAGTTTTCAGTTGATGGAACACTGCCAGATGATACAATCTCAGAGTTGTCTTTCAAATAATTTAAGCTCAAGTCCAGTGACTTTCTGTGTTGTGCTGGTCGTTGTATCTTTGTAGAGAACAACCTTGTGATCTTTTCCCTGAACTGAGCTCACTAAATAAGACTTGACCTGGGAATCTCAACTCTCCTATTGTTGCTACACATCCTGACCATCAAAGATGGTGTTTCAAGATCAGCGATCCGGTGCTTTAACTGTTGGTTCTTTCCAAGACTTTGTTGTTGGTCACATAACATTCCCGTTCGATGTTCAAGATCGAACAAAGCTGTGGCTGGTTAAAGCATTCTAACATTTGAATTTTGAGACGATATAGAGTCTTATCTTCTTAGTAATGTCTGCATTAATTCCCAATACGAGAGAATCACTTGCTCCTGGTTCTCAAGGCATTTCCTGTTGTAAATTTAGACAGTAAATTACATCATGATCCATAGTTTACCTTGACTTTCAGTTAGCCTGAACAATCTTAAATTTAAAATTCTAAAAAATAAGCATCATTTTTACTTTTGTTTATAAATATTCATGACAAAATAAAATCCTTAGATTTGCCTTGATAAAGTCCATCAGAGAATGAAGCATATTGGTAAAGTAAAAAGTTTTCCTTTTAGAGTCTGTCTACAAAACTCTAGAGTCAGGATGGTGAAGTTAACACCAATTAGTGACAAAGTTTATATTCATTTACATTATTCGGACTAATGTCCTCATCTTTGTCACCATATTTATCACAACGTTTCGGCCGTTGTACGCTCCGGCCTCCTTCAGGTGGTTGGAATGTCAAACTGAACCCTTTATTATCACTCACTGGGGTAGACTGTTCTAGTTCCACGTGCCATGTTTCATGGATGTCAGTTATCAGTTATCTCCTGTTAATTTCCCTCTGAAAGTTCTCCACTGCCTTAACCGAGTATTGAACTCACACTCTTTGGGTCTTGTCACTGGATCTAACCAACGCCTTTATCCACTGTGCCATGTGTCCTTGAGGACATCTGGGTATTATAAACCTAATGTCTTCAGTAACTATTTTTACCAGTGCTCATATTGCAATTTTTGCTGTTATCTATGCATGTTTTTACCAGAGCTCATATTGCAACTTTGTTGTTATCATTGCTTTTCTCTGGCACTCCTTATTACTGGTTCCCATATTGTATTTATTTCTATGCTTGTTCGGCTCAGGAGATTTTTGTGGCCTAGCATATGTGCTGATTCCTTAAGTTTACGAATTTTCCAGTGGTGTTCCTTGTCTATGATCTCAACCTGATCCCATAGAGGGTGGTGATCTCCCTTCTCTCTCCATATGTGGTCAGCCATACCTGATTTTTCCACTTCCTCTCATGTTACAGCTTTCTGGTGTTCTTGAACTTTGTATTAATTATATATATATATGAATTTTGTTGGAGCTGTGTATTAAAAACCCAGTATTTTTAAAAAGTTACTCCAAAATTCGCTTGAGGATGAAATGGAACTGATGTCTTCAATTTAATCACAAAATTAAATTCGGGGCTTTTAGCTTCCATTTTTGAAACATGGTTAGAATTGTGTAGCGAAAAAAAACATTTTAAATCAATTAATCTTTAATATTAATGCTCTGTAAATTTACATTGAGCACTATTTTGTAAAAATAAAAATATCTATCTATAAGAACACCGGATTATATATCTTGCTGTTTCTTTATATATATATATATATATATATATATATATATATATATATATATATATATATAAGGAACATTGAAGTCAACACCCAGAGGTGACAGATTGTTTCATACTAAATGCAATTATCAGACCACATGCATTGTGGTTTTTCTTGACTATATATACTGGTCAGTGGTGCATTGTGGGTAGTCTATTCTAACAGTTATTTTGGCATGTGTGGTTTGTTAATTTGTTTATTATTTACTTTATTTATTTATTTATTTATTTGGATTAATTTATTTACTTGTTTTTGCTTATTTATTTTATTTTTTTCAATTTTTGGTTTTTAAGTAATGTGGTAAAAATTTGTTGTTGTGTTTGCATTTTGACATGAGTCTGGGAAGGAAATTATACCTAGTTTTTCCTCCATGCAGAGTTTGCTGTTTTTGGATTGTTATAGGCTACTATAACAATCAATTCCAAAACTGAAAACTTTGCTTGGAGGAAAAAATAAGTATAATTACCTGAAACATGAAAAGAATTATTACTAATTAATCCATAGCTGGAGGAAGCAGACATGGATTCAAGTGTATTTGTACATAAGTGAATATAATGAACCTGAGTGGAATTGTAACTTGGCTCTCTGATTTATAATTCCGTGCCATTATGTATTATACAATCTGCACATCTAAACTTACAGTACTTGGTATTCCCAAGTAGTTACCCATCTAGGTAATGATCAAACTCAACACTGCATAACTTCAGTGATTGTACAGGAATTGGTCCTTTAGCATGCTATAGCCATAAGCCACTTTGTGTACAAAACAACATTTGTCTGTCAAGCCATTTTCACAAAGCATAACAAACTTTTATCCAAATGACCTCATTAGATTTATACAGTAAGCCATTGCTTACTGTATAAATATTACTCACTGTATAAATATTCAGAGCATCCATCATATCCGTCTTCATCTTCTTCACATTTCTCTGCAGCCGTCTCTTGATCACTTACTGTTGTTGCAAAGATGCAAGCTCCATGGTTGACCAATAACTGCACCATGGGAAGATTATTACATGATGCAGCACAATGCAAGGGCGTCCTGCAGAAGAGAGAGAGAAGTAGTTTTACAAGGAGAGGGAGAAAAAATACACACACACATACATACAAGCAGATGGCCAGCCAGCCATACACACAGGTAGATGGCCAGACACACATATAAAGACACATAGACAGCCATACACACATAGACAGAGGCAGATGCTGACACACACATACACACGGGCTGATGCCCAGACACACACACACACATACACACGGGCTGATGCCCAGACACACACACAGATATTCAGACTCTCAAACAGCAAGACACACAAGGGCACATGCGAAAAAAACAAACAAAAAACAAACAAAAAACAAAACAAATCTTTGTTCATAAGAACACAGAACATAATTAGTTTCCTTTCGCCCATTATGTCTCAAATGCTTTTCAGCATTTATTTAAACTTACATGAAAATCGTGCTGCCTCTTTTATGGAAAATTCATTTGTAATTAACAATGACTAGGATACCTTATTGAAGGGATTTACCCCTCTGCAGAGGTGCAGTCAGCATATCTGTAGAAGTTATAATGTAGTTTTGATTTCCAGCAATTTTTCTTGGTACAGTTGATTGGCACGATCATAACTTTTTTCTAGTTTCCACTAATAATGCAATGCCCAGTAAGCAGCAGAGTGTCCCTTATCATTGTCTAACCCTAACCTCTGGGGAACAACAGCAATGATGAACCAGAAGAGACGTCAATTTGTCTTTTCCACTTCCTGCACCGTCATTTACCACTTCTCTACTGCCTGAAGAATACATCAGGACCGACCGCATCACCAACAACGATGTACTCTTTCGAACACGATAAACTACATCCGTGTCCTAGGTAAGATGATATACTAGGTCCAACAGCCCCTAATCAGGAGGTTTTGAGGAGCATGGAACCACTTTAATCGCTGGTGTTCTCAGGTCCACTCTGACCTGGGGTGGTAGCACCTGTTAGGGTCTTAGCCATGGGTAAATAATTAACCTCCCCCCACCAAAGTGGGGCCAAAACTATATGAAAGTGTAAAAATAGGTTTTAATAACAGAAATAATTCGTAAAAAAATATTACCAGCAATACTTTATTATCAGCAATACGTTTTTGAAAAAAAATATTACCAGCTATACAAAAAAAAAAAAAAAAATATTACCAGCAATAAAAATTTTGTTGGCATTAAATAACCCATTAAGGTTGATATGCCGTAAAACAAGACAGACCAAAACTTTTTCAAATGTTTCTCCTGAGCATCCAGGCTACCATCCATCTTCATCACCTCTGCTAGGTTGGACACATGTATAGAATACACCCCACTAGAGTCTCTCGTATGATCCTCTCGTTTGGAGAAATTGTCAGTGGCAGGAGGCTAAGCGGTGTCCCAAAACAACGCTTCAAGTATCAGTTGAAAATATCCATGACACAAGTCAATATCGACTTTGAAATCTGGGAAATCATTGCTGTGAATCAAACTTCCTGGCAAAGAACTACCTGAAGCAAGGCAGAGATGGGGCTAGAGTGAGACTTTCAGTGACATGAAGAGGATCCTCTGTGACTGCCTCTCACGGCTATTCAGGAGTAGGCCGAACCTTCACAACCATCCCTACGGTTACCACCAGTGTAGAGGACAGGAATAGGGAGAGAGTATGATATCCCAATACTCAGATGTGAACAGGTGTCGATGGAAATACTACCAGGTCAGATCTGCTACCTGAGTTAACTCCCCTAGACCCGTTACATTCTGCGCCACACAGTGGCACCTCGAGTACGAATGGCTATGAGTTTATATCCATTACATTAATCTCAACAGTATTCTGGGTCTTTGTTATATAGGAATAGTGTCGCTGCCGACACTTGGGTTTGAACATGGATCACCAAAGAGTAAGCACAGTCGACCTCATCTTGAAATAATTAGATCACGTGACGAGTAAAGGAAAAAAATATATATATGGGAATTAGCGGCGTCTGACAGACTATTGTTCGAAGGCGTTCTTATTATTGTATCTGTGATTTACCAAGTCTCTCCTACGAACGAGCATTACAAAAGTCTACATGCAGATCCATGGTGCGGCATAAATATTTACCTATTATTTAAACATAAATTGAAACGAACATATTTGTAAAAATAGTTCCAATTTTTGTATAAGGCTTCCTAACATTGAATTGTTTTATTGTTTAATGAAGAAAAGCAAAATGTCTGCTATGAAGAATTGTGAGGTGATAAAACAGTTGAATGTTTGCTGAAAATCTACCAGGAGAACCACTGAACCCATCAAGGAGTGGTTGAAGAAAAATCCACAAAGAAACAGGAGGAAGATGATAAAAGAGTTGGCAATTTCAGATAAGTCGTTAAGAGGATAATGAAAGAGAATTTAAGGCTAAAACCATAATGAATTGCTAGGTCGGCTGCTAAGAAAGTTGGTTCACTGTGTCGTGCTAAACAATTTTTCTTGCCAGATTCTATAAATCTACCATTCGTCCTTGCTTTGAATATTGCAGCCACATCTGGTCTGGTTCTCCTGCTATATATTTAGAGATTCTTGATGAAATCTAAAGAGGAATCTGCAATGTTATTGGTTCTGGCCTGGTATCTTGACTTCAGTCACTGTCTCATTTCCGTAATATATTTTCCCTTTATCTTAAATATTTTTTCAGAGCAATTGTTCTAATAAACTTTCCTCTGTGCTTAAATAGACTTTTTTTTTAAAATTTAAGCTTACATAGGAAGAATAGCCTCATGCTTGCAGGAAATAAAAACATACAGAGATAACACTAAAAGCATGTTAAATTGTAAATTAAAATCATACAATTTATTTTTGTGTACTGTTGTGTGTATTTTTGGCTACTAGTGTTTTCAAGGTTGCATGTAATAAAAGGAAGAAGTCACTTTGTATTACCACAAACTATGTCCTGGAGAGTGAAGTTGGACGTCTTGCCATTCAGTAGCGAAGAGGATGAATTCAAAGTGTTTTGGAAGGAAGTCCGTTTTTCTGGTAGGAACAGTTTCTGTTGCATGCTGGGAGAATTTTTATTTATTTTAAACAAGGTTTTAGTATTATTTTTTTTTATTTAGGATATTCATTATTGTTATTATTTTATATTTGATTTTTATTTAATAATAATAATGATGGTGATGTCGGCCCTACAAAGTACAGTACTAGATTGGAGACAAGATCTCATCATTTTAGATTTGAAATGGCCGCTAGATGTAACCATAAGTTTTATGCTAAGAGTTTCTTCTCTTGCACTTCTTGCTTGTGGAACTCTCTTACGGCTTCTTGCTTTCCAGTCAACTTTGATCTTCAAAAATTTAAATGCAATGGCAATTGTCATCTTCCTAATTTCTGTTCTTTTAGTATTCTCTCTCCATAATAGTATTTTTAAAAAAAAATTATCACATTTTCTATCACATCTTGCGTCTTAGTGGCTTTGTTGCCTTACTTGTGGTGAAATGATTAAAATCAAATATGGGGTCCTCTGCCAAGCAACACCAAATATGAACCACCACAAACCATAGTTTTTTTTTTTGTCTGCAATGTAATTTAACATCTTCCTGCTACATTCTTCGCCAAACATGGACAGGGTGCGGCTTATTCAATATTGGAACAATTCTACAACAAAAAGCCATACTTGGAAATAAAGAAAGAAAAATTGTTCTTCCTCTGTTATAAACAACTGTATCTGTTAATATTTATGACGCACAGATATATGCACGACCCACAGAACATGCAGTACTTACCAACCATCACTGTCTGGTGCATTTACATCACAACCAAATTCAATTAGGAATTTAACAATGTCATAGTGTCCAGCACATATGGCATTATGAAGTGCAGTGATGCCTTCGTCGTTGGATGCACTCACATTGGCCACCTGCAAAATAAGTAATACATAGACATAAAATGGTGATAATGATACTAAGACACAAATGGTTACTGGAAGTGAAAGAGAATAAGAAGACTTTAGTGACGAGAAATGACAATAAAAGAAAATGTTCTAGGAAGATAGAAGATGGCGATAAAGCCACTAAGACGCAAAGAGTTACTGGGAGTGAAAGAGAATGAGAAGATTTTAGTGAGGAGAAAGGACAATAAAAGAGAAATTAAGGACAGAAAATAAGGATCGACATTGCATTTAAATTTTGAGTTCAAAGTTGACTGTGAGAAGAAGAGGATTTATATAATTCCCAAGGGTATTAGCATGTAAGGGAATGTGATGAATTCGAACTCGGCTCTCCGATTCCTCAATCCGAACCGCTATCCATTACTCCACTCCTTCCAATCTGGTAGTATGCTTAAATACATGCGGCTGAGGTACCATGAAGGAAATGCTCGTTAGAACGATTGCCATGAAAAGACAATGTGAAGTCACATCCCGGCAGTGGGAATCTGAAGTCGAGATGCCAGGCCAGAATCGATTATATTAAAAAGTGTTCTTTGGATTTTGTTAATAACCTCGAGATATATAGCCAGGCCACCATATCAGACATAGCAGCAATATTCAATAGACGGATGAATGATAGATTCATAAATGGACATGATGGATTCTAACGAAACAAAATTCTCTGGAATGACACACCGAACTTTTCTAGTAGCAGACCTAGCAATTGAGTGAATATAATCATTCCACTTCATGTTAGTGGAAAATATAAGACCAAAAATGTGGGTAGGAAATTAATGTTCAATTACTGATGAGGGATGTCTGCCATAACGACATTGTCATGTGAAGCACAGACTGAACATGTCGAAATCAAGCAGGTACAGAAAGTTAGCAACCTGGGTGGTAATGTTGTCATAGATGACAGAAAATATGATGAAGAGATCCAAAGGAGCATAGGAATAATGAAAGAGGTCTTCCAGAAACTAAGCAAAGTATTATGAGAAACAAAAGAGTGCAGAAACTGCTAAGTAATATCTCATCTCTTATATGACAAAGAATACTTGACAATTTCCTTATGCCTTTCAGAATGTAAGCAAATTATAAAGAGATAGGAAAATGTCGTTAGAAACAAAGAAAGATTTTTTACAGTTTATCAACCCTTTTGTGGGTTATTTGAAGCCCAAACATATTTTGAATTGTAAGAATGCTTCTTTTTTATGCAAGTAAATATTGCATTTTTTTTTGAGAATCACAATGAATTTTCCAGATACGAGTTTTACTATTTAACCCATAGCTGTGGGTAGGAAGCGGATTCATACTTTTCCCAAGGGTATTTATGCATCAGTGTATGTGACGAATTGGTATACGAACTCTGCTCTCCGATTTCAAATTCGGGACCCTATCCGTCACACGCACACCCAGAAGGCAAAAGAAAGAAGGAGAAACGTTAAGAAACATATTTACAAGCTTGTGTGAATGAGTGGCAAAACAAGGACAAAGGAATGCGGTTAAAATTCAAAAGTTACCATCCGTTTATTTTGCATGCTGTATTTTACGGCTTATCAACCTTTTCCACATTATTTAAAGACAGAAACTATATTTTTAGATTGTAAAAAGTTTGGAGAGATAATAATTTATAGATACAAATTCTACTAATTAACCCATAGCTGTGGGAGAAGAGGTTGATTAATACATTTCCTAAGGGTATTTGCGTGTAAGTGAATATAACGAACCCAACGGGAATTGGAACTCGGTTCTCCAGTTAATAATTCCGAGCCATTATCCATTACACCACCCGCTCATCCAACCTTACAGAACCTGGTATTCCCAAGCAGTCACCCTTGTAGGTAATGATCAGGCTTGGCATTGCTTAACTTCGGTGATCGTATGGAAACCGGTGTTTTAACGTGATGTAGCCATAAGGCCGAGAAAAATAAATTTAAAAAAGTAAAAAGAAAAAGCAGGATGTTGTGGAGAGCCATGATCGCTTTTCATACAAAGTAATAGATAGAAAAACAGAGCGTAATATTGCCTGATTCTTTTTTGTTTTTGGCTAGCTTTTTTTATGGAAGCATTTCTTTCTGCAACATTACAAGCCGTGGATATTAATGCAAAGTGTTCCCAAATTGTTCTTGCTAGGATTTGAACGTGCCACATCAATTCCATTTTCATCATTGCTCGTCAACCTGCAACTCCCATAAACCTCATCGGAAATTTTGCTAATATTTTCATGCTATCAGTGTATAAATAAAAATCACTATTCAAGATACCATTTCTTGCCATTGTTTTTATTTTTTTAAATCCTTGAAAATGGATTGTCTGTGGATCAATGAGAGTATCTGGTATGTAAATTTAGACCAAACTACAACAAATAGATGTATTAATTTAGAATTTTAAAAAGATTAGAAAAAATTCTAACAATTAAATTTAAGCGCAGTACTAGATTGGCAGCAAGGTCTCATCATTTTACAGTTGAAATGGCTAGATGTGACCATAAGTTCTATATTAACAGTTTCTTCTATCACACTTATCACATGTGTAACTTTCTTTTTGCATTCCAGTCAAATTTGATCTTCAAAAATTTAAATGCAATGTCGATCCTTGCAGGAATACCATAAATTTTCAACTTGTGAAGAACAATATGTCAAACCCTGTCAAATGACGTTAAGATATCCAAAGTAACAGCCATTCTTATCTAAGACCTGATAGACTTTTCCATCAATAACTGTTAATAAACCAGCAGCAACAATTGAGAAGGAAAAGCCATATTGCTTATCTGAAAAAAAAAACCCCTGCAATATGAGATGCTTAACTATTTCAGAGTTCAGACTTCTAGTACATTGCCAAAAAAGAGGTAAAAGGTTAATAGGCCGATATTTAGAAGGATTAGACTGTTTGCTAGAGTTCTTAAAAGACAGGAATTACAGAGGATTTCCAAGAAGCAAGAAAAGTGAGCAACGAGGTTGGATACCTCCGCCACCCCCCGAATCTATGATATCCCCCACGACTCTAATACATCTCAATTTTTATAATGCGGTATCCATAGAAAATATAAGTTTTATTGTAACCTAATTATATACAATAATGGATCATATGCAATATAGGTGAACAGTGCAACTAGAAAAATTGAAAATAAATTCAATGTATATAAATACAAATTAGAGACATGTCATAATAGATCATTCCATCATAAGAGACATGTCATAATAGATCATTCCATCATAAGAGACATGTCATAATAGATCATTCCATCATAAGAGACATGTCATAATAGATCATTCCATCATAAGAGACATGTCATAATAGATCATTCCATCATAAGAGACATGTCATAATAGATCATTCCATCATAAGAGACATGTCATAATAGATCATTCCATCATAAGAGACATGTCATAATAGATCATTCCATCATAAGAGACATGTCATAATAGATCATTCCATCATAAGAGACATGTCATAATAGATCATTCCATCTTAAATAAATCACTGTTTTTCCAGCAATTTTTATCATCAATTTGAGATTTTTCTTCTTAAAAAGTTGAATAATTTTAACACATGGATAAAAAAAAAAAAAAATTTTATATAGTGTCTTTTTTGAAGGTTTAACATAAGCAAAACAAATTCACGGATTTGAACAAAAAAATAAATAAATAAACAAATAAAGAGAAAAAAAATGACCTAGAATGACGTCAAAATCTGTGAAAAGTTTTCATCCTTAAATAGTCTGTTGTGATTCGTTTTTAATTTGTAACATATTTAAATGTAAATA